AGGGGCCTGCACTGGGGAGCCCGCTCCCGAGCGCCCTGGACGGATGGGGCTGCGGGCGCTGGAGGCGCGAGGGGCGACTTTGTCCCTTCTCCGTCCGCCCTCCTCTCCCGGCCAAGGTCCGGCAGTGACAGGCGAGGACCCTGAGCAGGGACGGGGGCACAGGCGCCCCGAAACAAAGCTTTGGACACCCCCACCCCCCTTGGGTGAGAGGACAGGCAAGGAGCGAAAGAAGTGAACTCTTTTCTTTCTGTGGCCGCTCTTGTCAGTTTCTCACCCTCTCTTTGAAAATGGATTTTTTTGTTGTTTGTTTCTTGTTCTTTTTTTTGGGGGGGGGTTGGGGAGAGGGTTTTAACTTGGGGTGAACTCCTAGCTGCGTAGGTTTAAAGAATCGTGTGTTCGCGTACCCTTGTTCAGGTGTCAGTAATTGGTGGTTTTTAACGGGGAATATCCAAGTTCGGAGCCTTTGTTGACAACAGACATGCGTGCCCCTTATGCTTCTGTAGAAAAATCTTTACGTTTATGTAACTTGGTAAAAGCTGAGTGAAAGGGCGGTTTTGGAGTAAGGCTCTCACACATGTTTCCAGGGGCTTCAGTTCTAGTATTTTGAGTTGGAATTGAGGCAGAGAGGGGGAGAACATTATGTTCTCCACTAGTTGGAGGAAACCCGTGTAAGTTTTTTTGTTGTTATGACTTGGGTATTAATCAAGCCTTCCCTACTTGAAATGTGAGAAGGATGCATTTTTAACTCGTAGTGTTCCAAATGCAAATCCAAGCTCTTGGCTCCTAAAACGGTGGTGTGTAGAAATTGAGAGTGCAAATTCGCACACTTTTGAAAAGTTGCATCTGGGACCCTGGGTTTTGTTCTCATTGATGTAGGAAGGTATAGTGGGTGCAAGTTTAACCAGGCCAGTTTTCTTTTGGGTATTTTCATGACCAACTAACTTTTGTGTTTTTTTTTTAATTTCCTCTCGAAGAACTGAGATTCCAGATGGCGAATTCTATGAATGGCAGAAACCCTGGTGGTCGTGGAGGAAACCCCCGAAAAGGACGCATTTTGGGCATTATTGATGCTATTCAAGATGCAGTTGGACCCCCTAAGCAAGCAGCAGCAGATCGCAGAACTGTGGAGAAAACTTGGAAACTCATGGACAAAGTGGTAAGTTATGTCTGACTGTGCCTGTACTTAGACCTAGTCACCCTATGGTTTCTTCAGTTTTATTTATACTGGTAATTAATAATAATTATTGTTATGGCAACAATCTTTTCATTTGGATTGGCTCTTTTAGTTTATTTAACATCCACTCTGTGTTTTGAAAAGTTGGATTCAGAGCAGAGACTTTTCCCCCCCTTTTGTCCTACTCTTCAAGGTTCAAAGTTCCTCTATATGACTCAGATATGCAAAGTTTGTACTGTTGGTTGCTCTTTGTTAGATGCATGGCCATAGAATACTTTGGAAGTGTTTGTTCTATCCAATGTGAAGTTGTGTTGCTATTAATTAGATAACAAAAGAGTGCAAACAGGTAATTTAAGAAGTCTTTGATGGACCATTCATGTCAACCACATGTGTGATGCTGAGGATATTTACAGGGGAAAAAGATTAGTCCCTAAGTGAGGAAGCAGTATTTGAGAGAATTTCCATTTTCATCTTTGAGAAATCATCTTCATTAAGAAACTTTTTTTGTTGTTAATGGTAAAGTTATAGTTTCTTTCATCTATTCCATTTTGAAACAGGAAACCTTTTGATTGCACATTGTTTATCGTGAAAGGAAAATTTATGATGGAGGTGTGGGGCTGAGTATCAGAAACCACTGTGGTTTCTGCATGTTGCTTTCAGAACTACAATTTCACAAGAAGAAATAAGCCAGATGTCAGATCCAGAATTAATAGTTCTTGCTTTTGAAGCAATAGTACTGTCCCCTCTTGTGTTGGTAAATGTTTTTTAGCACCTTATGGTTTTATTTCATAGATATTTGGGGCTAATTCTAAACTTACTTGACTCAGGGTTCTTGATAACTTAATTATTGCGGAAATGGAGGTTTAAAAAGTATTATTTTGCAGGGATATGCCAAAGCCTTCATGAAATCATATGGTATCAGTCACCTTTACTTTGGTTTGTAACTGTGCAAATATTTGCCACAAAAAGCCACTGTCAGTGGTATTAGCAAATACAGGACCGTGATAAGATTTACTTAATTTTCATTTATCCTTATGGAAAGTACAGATGGTTAGATGAATGATAGGCCTGTCATTCTGTGGCTGGTGGTGCTAACTGCAGAGCCAGAATATTTTTGCCAGATAAATACCTTAGTTTTGGGCTTCAGTGTGACCTACTTAAGCTTCTGCCAATTTATTCAAATTGTGATACTAAAGTGCTCCAGACAGAATGACGTCATAGTGTCAGAACTGCAACTTGCTGCTGAGGTCAGGTTTTGATTTTTAGCATTGGATACTTAAGAATGAGGAGGAGTATGCAGTTGGAAAAATTGCATGTATTTGGCAGGCACAATACTAGCTGTCTTTCCTTTTCTAAAGTGTGTGCAATTCATAGTGGACCCATGCCAGAGGAAGTTGCAGCCTCAAACCATTGCCCAGCCTCCTTACCCTTGGGCTGTGAGCACTGAAGGGGGCTGTACAGTAAAAAAAAAAAAAAAAAGAAAAAGAAAAGTGTGTGCAATTGAAGGTCACTCACTGCTGAAATCATTATTTGGGTATAAGAGAAGGAATGCAAGGTTTTCCTCTAACTTATCTGTTACATGAGTGGACAAAAAACGGGTCAGATTCTGCCAGGGAGCTGCTCCTCCCACTCCACCCCCTTCTTTTGAGTGGTCAGAATTTGTACAGATCATCACATGAACAAGATTTATGTAAGGAAGTGGTGAGCTATAGTTAATATAAAGTCATTCTTTTTGAAACATTAAAAAATATGTCCATAATTTTGGTCTGTAACTGATTGTTAACGTAAGTTTTATCTACTTTTACTTATTTCACCATGGGTTATGGTAAAATAGATGGATATTTAATAGTTAAGCTTCTGCCATCGTTTATTTTATTAACCCTTTTGTGGATTTGGGTTTAGCCTCTTCATTTGAGAAACTTGACTTGCAAGGAAATTGATTATCTCAATTCTCTACTTAGTGGAATGTGGGTGTGGGTGTTGGCAAAGGTGCACTGTATGGTTTTTACCTCATTTGTCTTCATTGTTTGTCAGCGATGAAAATTGTTCTGTGGGCTTTGTGGAGGGAAACTACATAAATCATTATAAAAGAGTTCAGTATGTTTGTTACTATTCTATTACACATTAATAAAGAGGAATTGATCATTACTAATTGAAGATATATTTTATTTAATTGTGTAGTGTAGAAGCAATCCTTACAAGCAATCTTTCTTTGTCAGTGGTGAAGGAAGTAGTTCAGATTCTCAACATTGTCCCAGTAATTACATCAGGAACTTTATTAGTAATCCAAAAGTTAATCCCTTGACACATCACCTAACTGTTTTGTAAAGTAATTGCTATAGTATGAATTTAGCTTCTGAATAACAGAAAATCATAATTTCAGGTTAACTGGTGGTTATGTAAAGGGTAGGGTTAAGAGTTTAGTTAGTTACAGGGGATATGAAGCAGTCCAGTAAGTGTGTTGTTTCCCCAACTTCTAGAATTTAAAACAGTCACCTGAGATTCCAGTTCTAATTGTTATGTTTTCAGAAGGAAGTCTTTCTATGCAAGGTCACTGAGAGTAGAAGAGAGTAATCATTCAGTTGTGTTCCTTATAAGATGCAAAGTGTTTTGTAACAAAACTTCCGTTGCATAGAATTAGCATAGTACATTTACTGAGGAAAAGAATAGTAGCATATCCCAAAGCATCTCATGGTTTCTGACCTTACTTCTGTGAGTTAGTATAACTCAGTAGCTGATGCCAAACTCAAGTCAGTTCATTTCTATTTGGTACAGTGATAGGACTATTACTCATGAGTACACATTGGAACTCAAATACACTTGAAATGTAGAGTTCGTTCCAAAGCTCTTGCAGAGATGGGTTTCTTTTAAGCATTGTATAATAAACATTTATTGAGAGCCTACTATGCCCCTACTAAGTGCTTATTACTGGGGATGCAAAGTTAGATAAGATACAGCTCTATCCCTAACCTGTCAGGGAATTCAGAGACCAGCAGCAGAGCCAGGCATAAAAATGCATAATTGCCATTTAGTATGGAAAGGGCTGTGATGCAGACTTTTACAAAATACAGTGGCAACAAAGAAGAGAACTGCCCCCTTATTTTCTGGCCACTGTTGAGATAGTTGTCTGTCTGGATTCTGCTGGCCACTGCCTTTAGGAACAGCATTATGGTACTCTTGCTAGAAGTGCTGAGGTGAGGGTAAGGAAATGATTGCTAATCAGTATGGTAGGAATGATAATTTATTAATGTGAGGTTCCTGAACATGATTTTCATAAGCATCTTAGCCAGGTGATGAAAAATGGGGGAAACAATTTTCTATCTAATAGATACTAAATGTACTGAGCATGTGTGTGTGGCAGTTCAGGAAATTATAAAGTAATTAATTGATGGCAGAGAGCAAAGCACGTTGAGTACCTGCGTGCATTTTGTCTCACTGTCCTTGTCACTTATTTTAAATTACATTACTGAAAGAGTTTTAAAAGTCTTTAAAAAGTGATGCCAAACAGCCTTTTGCGCCTTTTATCTTTAGTACATTTAGCACATTTGTCTTCAAGCTTGGAATATAATTCATTCTTTATCTCTATAATTTCATTGTGTCCATAATATATTTTAAAGTTTGTTAATCAAAGAAGCTTGGATTATATACAACTATTTGTTGGGTTTGAGAATACCATCTTCCTTGACATATAGCCCTTGGGACAGGAAGTACCATATATTTAAATAATTGTTTACATATTTTATTTTCCTTAGGGAAATTGTTCTGTGTTAGCAGAATCATGGGCCCAAGTAGGCCTACGTAGATCAGCGGTTCTCAACCTGTGGGTCGCGACCCCTTTGGGGTCGAACGACCCTTTCACAGGGGTCGCCTAAGACCATTGGAAAACACATATATAATTACATATTGTTTACAGTAGCAGAATTACAGTTATGAAGTAGCAACGAAAATAATTTTATGGTTGGGGATCACCACAACATGAGGAATGTATTAAGGGGTTGCGGCATTAGGAAGGCTGAGAACCACTGACGTAGATGATAACACAGTAAGCGTGTGGGCAGTTTTGTTTAGTACTGAGTTAGGTTTTGAATTTGTCTTAAGTGATCACACAGTTTGCTACCTGTCACTTTTATTGTGTTTATTTATTTAAAAATATTTTTATTGAATTTATTGGGGTGACATTGGTTAATAAAATTGTATAGTTTTCAGGTGTACAATTCTACAGTACATCATCTGTGTATTGTATTGTGTGTTCACCATCCAAAGTCAAGTCTCCTTCAGTTACAATTTATTTCCCCTTTACCCTCTTCTACTTCCCCCTCTCCCCTTTCCCTCTGGTAATCACCATACTGTTATCTGTGTACATGACTTTTTTTTGCTTTTTTTTTTTTTTTGCTTAATCTTCATCTTTTCCACCCAGCTCCCCCAAACTCCCGTTCCTCTGACAGCTGTCAATCTGTTCTCTGTGTCTGTGAATCTGTTTCTATTTTGTTCATTATGTTCCACATATAAGTGAAATCATGGTATTTTTCTTTGGCTTATTTCACTTAGCATAATACTCTCCAGGTCCAGCCATGCTGTACTACTTGTCACTTTTAGAAAAAGCTTTTTTTTTTTAAATATATTTTATTGATTTTTTGTAGAGAGGAATAGAGAGTTAGGAACATCGATGAGAGAGAAACATCAATCAGCTGCCTCTTGCACACCCCCCACTGGGGATGTGCCCGTAACCAAGGTATATGCCCTTGACTGGAATCGAACCTGGGACCCTTCAGTCCGCAGGCTGACGCTCTATCCACTGAGCCAAACCGGTTAGGGCTAGAAAAAGCTTTCGATAAAATAAAAGATTTAAAGGAATCCTCCCAAGAGTTACCTTGGCTTATCCTTGTGATATAGGGCATATATGTAGCAGAAGCCTTAATCACTTAGTAATCTTTTAACTGGTATAAAATTTTAATCATTCAGATTTTGAATCAACTTCTTAC